ATTACATATTAAATTGATGCCACTGTTGCCTGAAAGAGGCAGTGTTTAAATAAATCATAGTGATCACATGAACAGAAACCACTCTAAATTGGTCTCTGAGCTGTTGGTGACAGGAATGAGAGCTACATTTTGTCAACACTAACTTTAGTTAGTCTTATCAGACTGATTTAAATGCACTAAAGGTAAGAAAAATAACATCTATTCATGTGCAGAGCTTTAAAGCAGGAAGAACAGTCTATATTTCACAGTAATCTAATCAAAATGGATTCGAGGGAAGAGATGGACAGGAGAAAAAGGAGAGATGAGGTACTGACACATTAGCGGATACAATCCCAAGAAAGTGATTTGTATAACACATCCTTTCAGTAATAGGATGGATGGTTTCTGAGGAATAAATCTACAATGGTCATTTAATTAATTAATAATGGCCATATAGAATTAAGAAAAGTTTTGGTATTTCTTTATAGGTAGTAGGAGAGATTGGTAGGTGTAGACTTCTGTTAATCATCATCTCTTGGCAGTGAACCAGTCCTATAACATATACTGTTTACATGTCCTGTGTAAAAGTAATGAGAGAGTTACCTTTTTAAGCCCCTGGGCCAAAGATATTTTTAAATATGTTAGCATAGTTCATGTATTTTTTTTTTTTTTGAAGGGACGTTTAGTGTGCAGCATCCTTGTAATATAAGATATTGTATAGATCATGTGGTTACTATTGTAAAGGTCCAACTATAGACAGACCTAGAGAAATGACTGGGGAGAGTATAGGTGCAAGAGGTATTGCCTGATTGGAGTTTGATGGTTGAGGAAGAGGTTAGGAGGAGCCACAGCGGTAGGAGCAGTGGTGATTGCTGTAAGATCATTCCAGAAATGTGGACAAGAGGAGAAAATTGTCCCACACATTTCTTGTACATCAAATGGATCAAGTTATAGGAAGATTTGTAATAACAGATTGGTGGCAAGGGGGGATCTTTAGGAGTCTTGGAATAGTAAGTTACTTCCCTTTTAGGTACCGCTTGTCTTTATTGGAGCTTAATCCATTGGGATAGCCAAAATGTTCAGTCTGGAACTGACCTCAAAGCTGGAGGGGTGTGGTTGGAGTTTGATCATAATCAATCCTTTATGCTAAAGAACTCCTTCTTAGAATTCAACAGTTGTCATGGAAATTATTGGGTATGATTTATTTTGTTTTGTTATTTATTACGTTGGTAATTGTTTCATTGGATAAATAAAGGGATGCTGCTGATATTTTATTGAGAAGGTTATGTATTTATTGGGGATCGGTGGAGGGACAAAGCTTATGAATCCAGCAATCAAGTTTGTAAGGACAAGCCTGTCCCATGTACATTAGTTTTGCAACATAAAATCTCAAGATGTGATACTTAAATGACCTTTTCTTAGAAGATATTACAGAATCTTGATCTAATAGCATTCTACTGCCTGAGGTTTTTTTTTTTTTTTTTTTTAACAGGCACAGAAATGGATTGCTTAATTATAATCTCTAAATTAATTCTAAACACAGCAATCCCCAGTAACTGGAAATATATTTATTAAAGCAGTACAAATTACTATGTACAATTGTAATGTATGTTCGCCTCCAGTTAAATCCCTTATTTCTTGTCATGTTATTTACCACTTTGTGTGATAAAGTGGGAGGTAGCTGAAGGCTGGGATGGGAAATAATATATTGTCATATTATGCCTGCCCTACAAATGATTATTCTGCAGGGATTATTCCTTATAGTAGGGGTGCTCTGTTTCTCATGGATTGTTTTCACTGTATATACCTATTTCACTATCTCTGTGCTAAATCTGTATATTTTGTTTGGGTGCAGATGATGTCAAACTTGCCATCAATCCAACTGTAAAAAAAATTGGGGTGTGGTTGAATGATGACTCAAAAAGTTGCATAACTAGTAAATAAGTTAACTTTAGGTGGTTAGGGGGGCAGAGCCAGACTTAAAGGAGAAATACTGCCAAAACTCGTTTTTCTCTGTTTTCAGCTGACAGAGGGCCATTGCCTGCTGTCAGATGATGTCACTCAGGCAGTATAGGCTGGGGAAAGATCCCAGCTTCAAAGTTGGGATCCACACAAGAGTCTGGAGAGACACCTGGCTCAGCCTGTCAGCGAGCCACTGAAAGCCTGAGCCAGTTGCACCTTCCCTCTCCACAGCCCAGTGCTCCGGTGAGCGCCGGGGGGCAGAAGAGACAGTGGTGACTGACAGTCACTGCTCCCTATTCAGAGCATCTGTGAGTTCCCACACATAGAGATGGTGGGGAACAGATGCAGAATCGGACTGATGCTGCATCCACCTAAGTATAATTGGGAAAAAAGTCCATAATTCTCTTTTAAGCTGAGTCTTACAGAAAAAAGCTATTTTTTTAAATTTTTACTACTGCCGTATAAAAGGTTTATGTAAATATGTAACAACTGTACATACAATAGCAAGTGGAAATGGTAACCTCAAGTCCCATATGAATATGAACACAAAAATTTACCTATGTTTTTGTTTTATGCCCAACATTTGAACACAATTGCTACTATATATATAGTGCCATGGCATACAGAGTAATAACACTATATAAATAAAATAAACATAATTATCACTCTATGCCCCAAGCAGAGCTTACAATTTAAAGTGGTTGTAAACCTCAGACATTAAATATGACCAAAGACTTTCCCAAGATACCAAGAGAAGGTGACAGAGAAGGGACTTCCAGCAGATTGACAGCCTCAGGTCTGTTCCAGTGTGCTGTGTGAAGTGGTATGTGTCCCTTCCCTTAAATCAGTTCCTAGAGCTTTCCTCAATGAGTGTAACTTCAGCTCCCTGAAGTTGAGATCAGAGTAGAGATCCTATGTAAATTCTGCACTTTGAATGGATATAGGGGAAATATGTCTGTAGATAAACAGGTACAACTTATGTAGGAGGATTTGTGTCATCTTTGTGTATCACCTGAGGCCAGTCACTTCACTGGGTATATGTAAATGTGTGTGTTTTAAGGTTTATAAGGTAATTAATCAACTACACACACACACACACACACACACACACACACACACACACACACACACACACACACACACACACACACACACACACATATATATAGTGAAGGAAATAAGTATTTGATTCCCTACTGATTTTGAATGTTTGCCCACTCACAGAGAAATGATCAGTCTGAAAATTGAATGGAAGGTGTATTTAACAGTGAGAGACAGAATATCAACAAAAAAAATTCAAAAGAAATGCATGTCTAACAAATGATGCACTGATTTGCATGTTCATGAGGGAAATATGTATTTGATCCCCTATCATTCAGTAGGATTTCTGGCTACCAGGTGTCTTTGATACAGGTAACAAGCTGAGATTAGAAGCAGTCTCTTAAAGGGAGTGCTGCTAATCTAATTTTGTTACCCGTATAAAAGACACCTGTCCACAGGAGCAATCAAACAATCAGATTCCAAACTCTCCACCAGAGAGTGGGTGTTAGGAATGGACTTGCCAGTAATGGTGGGACTCACCTGCCTTGTGGGCTGCAGTACCAGGGCTGGCCAGCGGTGCTCCCAGCAATCAGAGACTCAACCCTGCAGCCAGCCAAACACCTGAAACTGCCTATACAGGTGTATTTAAGTGATGGCCAGACCTGCAGTCTGGGCCTTGGTGTGTGTGTTTTTCCTGGGCCCTGTATCTTGTAATCCTGCATTCTTGTTCCTGTTCCTGTGTTCCTGCTAGTACGTTTCCTTGTTGCCAAACTCTGCCTGTTCTGATTACGCTGACCCTCTCCTGGTCTGACCCCGGCTCGTTCCTGACCATCCCTCTGCCTGACCCTCTGTACCACGCTGCCAGCTACCTGCTGAACCTGGCTTGTGACCCCGACCATTCTCCGCTTGCTCCCCCTGTACCTACCTGCCCGATTGTTATTGACCCGGCCTGCCTGACGACGCTTGCATTGTATGTATTGTTATCTGTGGGTGGTTGGTTTGGTTTGTTTGCACTGTGTTATGTTTTAGTATTGCACTGCTTTTATGTTTGTATTGTTAGTCTTTAATAAATTATATTGTTTATAACATGAAGTCTGCGTTTCCCTGAGTCAGTCACATACCTCTGGTCATACCCTGGGAGCTCTGACATTACACCAAGGCCAATCCTGACCAGAAGTGGCTGCACAGGGAAGCCATCTTGGTTTGTTGATGGGAAGGATGGATCTTGATGAGGTTGTGTTTTTATATCTGCTAGTGTTTGATGACAGAGAATATGCTTATCAGACTCTGAAGGAGTATCCCAGGGATGAACTGCTAGAGAATGTATACGGCTCGCTCATGTTCTAGTAGATCAGGGCACAGAATTCTCTGAGGTGCAGCCATTGATTCAGGTTTGTGCGGAGTTGGTTTCATCTGGTACCCCCGAATGCAGGGATGAATTTTTGCCACCATTTAGTGCCGACCAGGTAGAGTCCCTGGTATGGTTATTAGAGGATGATGTGGATTACTTTCTGGAGCGTTATTCTGCATGTTCACCACAGATACTAAGAGATTGTATAAACGCAGTGCAGTCTTTGACCAGACAGGCTTTGTGTAAGCTCACCTTTGTTCAACCCATACTGCAGACATGGACAGATTTGTTGCACCCAGCCTCAGTCAGCTTACAAAAACCCAGTCCTGCTTCTAATCTATTTCCTCAAAGCTCTATTCCTGCATTCCCAACAGCTCCTCCTGCCCTGCTATCTACCGCATGTCAGTACCCTGTTCCCACTCGCTGCACCTATCCTGCCTTTAACCCTGTAAAGAAGTCCTCTGTAGCAACTGTTCACTCCCCTGTTCCATCCTCCAGCTCTTCTCTGTCTCCAGCTGCTCCATTCGTTTGTAGACCTGTGTTTACTTGCAGTGCTCCAGTAGTTAAAACCAGAAAAAAGTGAAGATTCTTTCCAACCAATACCATCCTGCCAGTATCCAAACCGGTGAGCCTGCCGTCTGAGAACCGGCCTTCCGTGGTTCAGCCTGGTGCCTCGGCACCCGCACTTCAAACCTGATGTCTGTACCCAGCCTGATGTCTGTACCCAGCCTGATGCCTGTACCCAGCCTGATGCCTCCATTCAGCCTGATTCCTCCATTCAGCCTGATTCCTCTATTCAGCCTGATGCCTCTATTCAGGCCTGATGCCTCTATTCAGCCTGATGCCTCTACTCAGCCTGATGCCTCTACCCAGCATGATGTTTCTACCCAGCCTGATGAACTGATCCAGCCTGATGATCCTATTAGGCCAGTTGACTCGATGCCCGCTGTTGATCCAGACGATCCGGTACCTGATGACCCGGTGCCCGCTGTCATACCTGGTGACCCGATGCCCTCTGTCGAGCCAGACGATCCAATGCCTGATGACCCAGTGCCCGCTGTCATGCCTGGTGACCCGATGCCCGCTGTCGAGCCAGACGATCCAATGCCTGATGACCCAGTGCCCGCTGTCATGCCTGGTGACCCAATGCCCGCTGTCGAGCCAGACGATCCAGCGCCAGATGACCCGGTGCCTGCTGTCGAGCCAGACGATCCGGTACCCTGATCCGGTGCCCGCTGTCGTGCCAATTGACTCAGAGCCCGCTGTCGTGCCTGGTGACTCGGTGCCCACTGCCTTGCCAGATGACGCGGTGCCCGCTGGCGAGCCAAATGACCTGATGCCTGGTGACCCAGTGCCCGCTTTCATACCTGGTGACCCGATGCCCGCTGTCGAGCCAGACAATCCGGTACCTGATGACCCGGTGCCCGCTGTCATGCCAATTGACTCAGAGCCCACTGTCGTGCCTGGTGACTTGGTGCCCACTGCCTTGCCAGATGACGCGGTGCCCGCTGTCGAGCCAAATGACCTGATGCCTGGTGACCCGATGCCCGCTGTCCAGCCAGACAATCCAATGTCTGACCCAGTGCCCGCAGTCATGCCAGTTGACTCGGAGCCCACTGCCTTGCCAGATGACGCGGTGCCCGCTGTCGAGCCAAATGACCTGATGCCTGGTGACCCGATGCCCGCTGTTTAGCCAGACGATCCAATGTCTGACCCAGTGCCAGCGGTCATGCCAGTTGACTCGGAGCCCACTGTTGTTGCCTGGTGACTTGGTGCCTGTCACTCCGCCTTGGGGTCCGGCGCCCGCCGCTTCGCCTGGGGGCCCGAGACCTGTCGCTCTGCCTGGGGGTCCGGCACCCGCCGCTCCGCTTGGGGGCCCGAGACCTGTCGCTCCGCCTGGGGGTCTGGCGCCCGCCGCTCTGCCAGGGGGGCCGAGACCTGTCGCTCCACCTGGGGGTCCGGCGCGCCGCCTCTCCGCCTGGGGGCCCGAGACCTGTCGCTCCGCCTGGGGGTCCGGTGCCCGCCGCTCCGCCTGGGGGCCCGAGACCTGTCGTTCCGCCTGGGGGTCCGGCGCCCGCCGCTCCGCCTGGGGGCCCGAGGCCTGTCGCTCCGTCTAGGGGTCCGGCGCCCGCCGCTCCGCCTGGGGGCCCGATGCCTGTTGCCCCGCCTGGGGGCCCGATGGCTGTCGCCCCGCCTGGGGGCCCAATGCCTGTCGCCCCGCCTGGGGGCCCAATGCCTGTCGCCCCGCCGGGGGGGCCCGGTGCCTGCTGCTCCGCCTGGTGGCCCGGTGCCTGCTGCTCCGCATGGTGGCCCGGTGCCTACTGCTTCGCCTGGTGATCCGATGTGCCTCTGCCCAGAGTCCAGCCCGATGTGCCTCTGCCCGAGTCCAGCCCGATGTGCCTCTGCCCGAGTCCTGCCCGATGTGCCTCTGCCCGGAGTCCAGCCCGATGTGCCTCTGCCCGGAGTCCAGCCCGATGTGCCGCTGACCCGGAGTCCAGCCCGATGTGCCTCTGCCCGGAGTCCAGCCCGATGTGCCTCTGCCCGGAGTCCAGCCCGATGTGCCGCTGCCCGGAGTCCAGCCCGATGTGCCGCTGCCCGGAGTCCAGCCCGATGTGTGCCCGCTCCAGCCCGATGTGCCGCTGCCCGGAGTCCTGCCCGATGTGCCACTGCCCGGAGTCCTGCCCGATGTGCCGCTGCCCGGAGTCCTGCCCGATGTGCCGCTGCCCGGTGTGCCATTGCCCGGAGTCCTGCCCGGGTGTGCCGCTGCCCGGAGTCCTGCCCGATGTGCCAGTCTTTGATATCCCGCCAGTTACCAGACCCCGGGCGGTGGAACATTTTGCCCAGCTAGGACTGTTTGGAGCGTCCTGAGGCCGCTCCTTGAGGGGGGGGGTACTGTTAGGAATGGACTTGCCAGTAGTGGTGGGACTCACCTGCCTTGTGGGCTGCAGTACCAAGGCTGGCCAGCGAGTGCTCCCAGCAATCAGAGACTCAACCCTACAGCCAGCCAAACACCTGAAACTGCTTATACAGGTGTATTTAAGTGATGGCCAGACCTGCAGTCTGGGCCTTGGTGTGTGTGTTTTTCCTGGGCCCTGTATCTTGTAATCCTGCATTCTTGTTCCTGTTCCTGTGTTCCTGCTAGTACGTTTCCTTGTTGCCAAACTCTGCCTGTTCTGATTACGCTGACCCTCTCCTGCTCTGACCCCAGCTCGTTCCTGACCATCCCTCTGCCTGACCCTCTGTACCACGCTGCCCGCTACCTGCTGAACCTGGCTTGTGACCCCGACCATTCTCCGCTTGCTCCCCCTGTACCTACCTGCCCGATTGTTATTGACCCGGCCTGCTGACGACGCTTGCATTGTATGTACTGTTATCTGTGGGTGGTTTGGTTTGGTTTGTTTGCACTGTGTTATGTTTTAGTATTGCACTGCGTTTATGTTTGTATTGTTAGTCTTTAATAAATTATATTGTTTATAACATATCTGAAGTCTGCGTTTCCCTGCGTCAGTCACATACCTCTGGTCATACCCGGGAGCTCTGACAGTGGGCCAAAATCCCTCCTGAGATGTGTGCAAACCTGGTGGCCAACTACAGGAAACGTCTGACCTCTGTGATGGACAACAAGGGATTTTCCACCAAGTACTAAGTCATGTTTTGTGAAGGGGATCAAATACTTATTTCCCTCATGAACATGCAAATCAGTGCATAATGTGTTAGACATGCATTTATTTTGAAATTTTTGTTGGTGTCCTGTCTCTCAGTGTTACAATACACCTACCATTTGATTTTTAGATTGATCATTTGTGAGTGGGCAAACATTCAAAATCAGCAAGGGATCAAATACTTATTTCCTTCACTATATATATATATATATATATATATATATATATACCCAAAATACACCTGCACAAATACAGTTAAAAATATAATATGTACATACTAATTTAATTCACATGGGGATTGATCCCAGAATCCCAGCACTGCCATAATAATTAGCTATGGTATTCTGAAAAATATTAACGTGTATGTATAGCCAAACGTTTTCTTGTTTCGTGGTTTGGCATAGAGTGGGAGGGATCAGAACACCTGATCGGTTTATTTTTTATGTCTGTGTACCATTAGAGAAATGTCCCTTCACTTCCTGCCATTACAAAGTAAGTGAAATTCTCCCAAAGTGAGTGGAAATCCCCTTTAGACAGCAGTCCAAAGAGCAAGTGTCTACAACTGGAAGATTTCCCCTCACCTTGCTCTAAACTGATGCATTCCCCCTCACTTTCTCTCTTGGTGAAAATGGTAACAAGTAGAGGATCAAATCTATTCAATGGGGACAACAATAAAAACCTCACAGATTGTGTAATTCTTCCTCATTTTCTTCAAACTATAAAAAAATGTTTTGCCTAGATGTTCTGTATTCATAACATTGTGTTGAGTAGTGAACCATCTATTGGGTAATGCACCCTTTCTGTATTTTTATCAATAGAGATCAGGAAGTGTCTTATGTGTTAAAAATAAAGATTTCTCATCTACCACTGCATTTCCAATTTAGCTTCCAAAAGAACACACCAGTGAAGGCCTCCTTTCTCTCTTAAATACACATGTGCTTGTAAGTTAATTTATTGTGTTTGTTAAAGTCATGTACTGTATATATCTAGATTGCATTTAAATGTATTTAATGTGATTTGTATGTAGCTGTTTGTACAAAATGTGTTCATTGTATGCATTTGTAAAGGACATGTATACAAGCATTTTGTAACTTCAGTTTATGCATTTATTGCAGTTTTACAGAACTGTTCATAGAAGTAAATTCAGCTTTGGAATGAAACACAATGCTGCTTCTGTCAGTGTTTGTTAGCTAGCTGTCGGCTAACCATTATTAGGACAGCATACTAGAGGTGCACAGATCTTTTGTAAAATGTAACTATTTTAGGTTTGTTAGTTGGTAATTCATTGCCTGTTCTTTGTTCTATTTTATCACTTCTTTATTTATAGAAAAGACAGACACATTTTGTACATGTATCTATGGCCAATTTGGTATTCTATCCTAGAACCCAGAATAACTTTTATACTGCTACATGTTTAAACTGCAAACTGCCTATCTCTTCCTCTGCAGTCACATCTGACTAAAATATATTCATTTTTGTATGTTTACTATTACCAATTCATTTAAAAGGTTCTCTTTAATTCTTTCATTTTCCTTTCATCTAGTAAAAAAGAAATAGAAAAATACAATCTTTGTGTTTTTTCCCACATGTCCATCCTATATGAATGAGGAACAACATGCATTTGTATAGATATAATTCTAAACAAAATGGTTGTCCTTCAATAAATGTGTTCTGTTGTGGTTTCTATTTCCCAGAGGGCCAGGATTGTTCTGTGTCTCAGTAAGAAGGAGCAACATCAAATGTAATCAGACATTAGTATGCATAGTCATAGACTTTCATCTTACAAGATTGTAGCTCAGCGGAACACTTGCAATAGTGCAGCAATGTAATGTCTGATTGAAAAATGCCTAAAAGAGCAAACCATTTATCACAGTAGCAGTTCATGGCTAAAGTACAACGAACTCCCCAGAGTAAATAGATATATTGGTTTGCAGAAAAAAGTGTGTTTCTTGTGGCAGTTTTGTATCTTGTGTTGCATAGAAAATGCTGCAATGCACAAAGTAAAATATTGCCATGGTGACTTAGTAAATTTAAAATCTGAAGATGTCACTCTGTATATTATTTGTGGAAATCTCTGATTAGCTTGTGCAATAACTTACACAGCATAAAACCTGTGCCATAATGTATGAAGTGTACAATAAGTGCAATCAGCGTATAAATCATACAACACACTTTGCTGTGTGTGTGCTATTGTAATGTTAAAATGAACATTTACTTCTGCTAAATCTGGCAGTTTCCCTTTTGCCCTCCTCATAAGTACCTCATAAAAGGACTAATTTAAAGTAGATTTATAGATGTTCAGCTACAGGGCAAAGCCGCTGTGTAGTAAAATATTGGTCTGTTATGGTCTATGTGTGTAGCACATTAGGTCTCCCTCTTAAAGATAACAAATGTAACAGTAAACAAATTTAAACCTCCATTTGCTGATGGAGAAAGATGAGTGGAAGCATGAAAGAAAATTCTTATCTTTGAATTCTTCATATTTTTAGAGAAATGCAATGTTATGATGTGCACTGACATGTTAATCTGCTTATCAGCATTTTATGCTGATAACAGTAATGTATGGCATCTTAAATTGATCTGAATTTATCAGCGATCATGAGTTTGAATGCACATACAGTATTTATATAATTATAATTACTTTCCTGTATGGCAGTGCATTTTGTATATTCTTGTAGCAT